TTTTATTTTTTCAATTTTTTTTACGGGCCGCGGGTTAACAGCGGCCCGTAGAGGTGCAACCCGCGAAGCCCGCGGGTTATACCTCATTGGCCAGTGAACCACCCACACGGGTCACGGGTCAGCCCGCGTTCCCAATTTTCACGGGTCTAACCGGCCCGTCCGTCTTGACACCTCTATCTGAACTTGTTTTCTTATCTTAATTTATAAATAAATACAAAAAATATATTATTTTGAGAATCAAATTCAATTCAAATTTTTATATTTATGATATTGTATAGACACATGGTCCTAGTTAGTGCAAAGTGATTTATGCTAGTATATATAATGATGATTGATGAAATATTTTCATGGTTAATTTTAACAACAATAGTTGAAGTTCGTTAAGAATTTCAATTCAATTTTTTTAATGATTATACTAATGGTCACTCGATTAAAAACATTGACCAAAAATACCATGTGATATCATTAAATGTTAAAGTAGACATACGCTATGTCAAATATAATTGTATATTTTATTAAATAATAGAAAGAACAACTTTAAAATTAAAATTGAAAATATGTTTTCCCATTTGAACATTTTGTGTAATATATTTGGCTGACATGATGTACTAGTTAACGTCATTTTTATCCATGTAACACTTGTAATAAAATTTGTTAGTATGTCAGATTATTGTATAGAGCGGCCAACCCCTTATCAATCTATTAATTGTAAAGATAGACAGTGATGTGACGACCCAATTAGAGAGATGAAGTCACGTGGTTCTGATCCAACGATCACCACGTTGGCCATAGTAGTATAAATAGGTTCTCTTTGTAAATTAAAAGAGGATTTGATTATTGATTGGAAAATAGACAATAACATATATTCGAAACACATACTTGAACTTTGAAGAAAAATATACAAACACTTGGGTTTATTTTCTATCTTTTTGGTATGTTTATGAGTTGTAAATTTCTATACACGACGTAGTAATTTCAATACATATCATATCTATCTTTCCACATATTCCCGTTTGTAATTACATAGATTAGTTTGATTTCAATTGGGTGATCGTTGTTAGCGTGATTGCTTTTGTTCCATCATCCGAAATTCGAACATTTTTGTCTCTCGTCTAAAAGTACCTCCAGCATCCATCTCCTCTTTGCTACCGCTGTTATTCCAGTTGGAACGCTCCGATATTGTATTTGACTTGACGTGAATGAGCTCGACATCTGTTGACCCATTTTCTGGGGTCAACATACTCATAAATGAAATTTAAGATATAGATGAATGTTAAACAACAATATTACAAATATGTTTCTTACAGATTAAGTGCATGTTTGCCTTCTGCTAAAAAATAAGCAGCTAATCACATAGAAAATGAGAGATTGCTTCTTATAGAAGTCAAAACATTCAAAAAAAGCTAGCCAGGTCTTCAGATTTAGCCTAAAAAGGCTAACCCTATATGACACCAAAGTGGATGGACAGACACAGACAACTAATGCCTGAAGAAATTGTGCGCAGCAAAAATATTCTTTACTGTTTTAGGGCCATCTGGTAAAGCCTGGATGTCATCAATTTAGCCCGGTTTATTTTTACTTTTTCAAAAATTACTTTTCCTCGAATTCATTTTTAACTACACATTCTTTAAATAAAATATTTAATACGTAAATGTATAACTTTTCCTATTTTTAAGTACACATTTAAAAAAAAGAAAGGAAGAAGACTTATCAAAGAATCAAAATTAATCAAAAACTTAATTTGTGCGTGCTAATTGACCGAGAAAAGTTGCTTCATTTGTATGCATTGTAGGTGAGTTAGGGCCGGGGAGCGACGGATATCCTAATTAAGACTCGGGGGAAAATAGTAACGAACGTCATCAATCTTTTCAGTATGTTGCGCTTTTTGTTCGAGATAAATTAGAACATTGAGGCTATATCTACTTTTAGATCGAGTTCAGATGTGATAAATTTTAATTTTTAATATCATTATTTTATTATTATATATACCAAATTGGTGAAATGGGGTCGCTTAAAATCTGAAATTAGATTCTATGAAACCCTGTCTAGTCAAATTTCTAGCACATATTTTAAATCAAATAAGTAGAAAGCACCCCACAAAATGGCGAGCAAATCTTACATTGAAAGTAGTTTGATTGATAATCGTGTCCATTGATGTTTTTGGTTGGGCGAAGACACTAAGAGCGGTAATAAATATTCATGTTATTTCTTGTCCTTCCATTTGTTAGGAGTGATAGTACATTTAGGAACAAAATCCCCTAACCTAGAAAATGTGTTTCTCCAATTCTTGGTTCTCACTTAATCAACACAAGAGGTCACCTAAAATTTGAGTGAAACTTCAATTTAGTCACCAATAACGATTTGTCACAAAATTTAGCATCATTTCATACGTGACAAGTATTTTTTTTTTTAACAATACAAGTATTTATGGGGGATCGCTGATTGTGCTGCGCAATAATCATGTATTTTGGCTTGTAAAAGCATTCTTGTACAAGACGTTAATCGGTTAAAATTGCATTTTACTCGAATTTTGTGTTAAAAGCACAGCTTTACGTAAGTTTCCAGTAAACTAACATTACAAGGAGTTCATGCAAGAAATTAGTTTGCAACGTAAGCAAAAATGTTAACTTATATCACAAATAGTCACTGATGACCCGAAAAAAAAAAATTGAAACTTTAGTGATCAGATTGGAACCCATAAAAGTCGAGTGATTAAAATGAAATTTCGCTAAGAAAAATTAAAGAATGAGAGAAAATGATGAAAAAAAGAAAAAAAAAAAGAAAAGAAAATTCTTTTAACTAAAGGAAAAGGCCGCCATTGGTTGGTTCTTGTCTTTTGCTTTTCCTGCATCAATACTGCTCTTCTTTGTTTTGCCAAATGTCTTTCGACAAACACAAATATTAGGCATTGTGGACAAATCAAAGCAAAAAGGTTAATATTATCGTTCTCGATTTGGTTCATTTATTTCTGGATATTTTCCTCCCATCTTGTTTCTTTCTTGAAAATCCAACACCATTTATTTCTTAAATAATATATAGAACATCAGACACCATTTTAAGCAAATGAGCAAAAAAAAAGTTAGTATAGTCTTTCGGGTTATCTGAAATATGGTTATTGTTTGCTTTTAGGCCTCGCATTCTTGGTAAAAGGGAAGGTTTATGATTTGGGTTGATGAAAAAATATGGGATTCCGAGGTACAGTGAGACAGAAGAATGAACGAAAAACTGAGTAGCATTATCAAGTTGAAGAAATCACAAGCTGGTGTAAAGAAAAGGGCAAACAGCATATTTTCAACAATGTCGGTTGCCCATGTGGATGATGATGACATTATTGGAAAGACAACCAAAATGCAGGGAGAGATAATATCCAAAGGGCATAAGAATTATGAGCTCATGCTTAATTTGCAGCTTGGAATAAGGTTATTAAAATACTCTTAATGTATTCTGTCCTTGTTTAATTATTCTTGTGATGTTGTGGCTCTTAATTCTCATTTTGGAAAGGAATAAAGAACTTGAGTTTGAAAAGATTAACTGCATTCCTGGTTTGGATTCATATGTAGGCTGTTCTTGATGTATACATGATGAGTGTAAATTCTCAATGTGTACATGATGTGTGTTAATTTTGTTTTGCATAGGATTAGAGCGGTTAGATGAAGTGCTACATGATTTCTGCGTGATAAGAAGATCCTTACAAGGTTAAAAGGCTAGTTTTATAGAACATGTTTGGACCTTCTATGCCTTATTGCACTGATTGCTGGACTGTTGGAGGACGATATGAATGTAGCAGAAATGAGGATGCTAAGATGGATGTGTGGACGTAATAAAGTGGATAAGTTAAGAAATGAGATTATACGGCAATAGTGGAGGTAGCACCAATTGAGTTCTTATAAACTCTGCATACTTGATTTGCTTCGGAATGGAGTGATTTAAGTTATATTTATCTCAATCTTGTTGATAGTTACTAGTTGATTGTGTTCTTCGTGATATGTTGCTAAATATATATTTCTATATGTATCTCATTTGGATCATCAATCAGACATTCTGTAGGAAGACCTGCTCCGGATACATCCCTTGATCTGAGAGATACAGCTTTTAATCCCAAGGAGAAAATATGGACTCGATTTCCTCCGCAAGGATCGAAACATACTCCACCTCACCAATCGTGTGCGTTCAAATGGAAGGATTACTGTCCCTTGGTTTTCAGGTCAGCCACTGAAACATGTGTCCCTTAGTGTTAGTAGGAACTCATTATTTCTGATGATGCTTTGTCCATTTGCACCAAATGGCTTGATTAGACCCTGTAATTATGTCTTCAGGACATTAAGAAAATTGTTTAAGGTGGATCCAGCTGATTATATGATATCCATATGTGGAGATAATGCCCTTCGGCTGCTCTCGTCTCCTGGAAAAAGTGGAAGCTTCTTTTACTCGACCAATGATGACAAATACATGATTAAGACCATGAAGAAGTCAGAAGTAAAAGTGAGTTCCTATGTGCTCAAACTTGCATTTGTGCTGGCATGACAATATTTATATCATCAGTTACTAATGACTAAAATTTCAATAAGAAAATGAACAATTTACCATTTTTTTTTCAAGTTATTTGGATAAATTGATGATGGAACATTGAACATTAAAACTCTGTTTATGTTTTACAGCGAAACATAAGACAATCTTGGGAATAGCTGCAGAATTTTGTATTCAACTAAATAACATCCTAATCCTGCTCAATAATACAATTGCAGGTGTTGACGAGAATGCTTCAAGCTTATTACAATCATGTTCGAGCCTTCGAGAATACTTTGGTAACCAAATTTTTCGGCCTTCATTGTGTGAAGATGACTGGACCCGCACACAGGAAGGTAGTTAAAATGATCAGTAGTTTCTGTCATCAAACACTTTTTTTATTCATGATAATGCCTCTGTTTTTATAACTGTAGGGTTTTTTATGCGCAGGTGCGGTTTGTTATAATGGGAAATTTGTTTTGCTCCGAGTATGCCATTCATCAACGTTTTGACTTGAAAGGTTCTTCACATGGTCGTGTAACAGACAAACCTGAATCTGAAATTGATTCAACAACCACTCTCAAGGATCTTGATTTGAATTATATCTTCCGATTGCAGACATCTTGGTTCCAAGAGTTCTGCAGGTGATCACTTTCGACTCTATTTTCTTATTTTACTGGCAAGACTCTTACTCCTTATCATAGTTTCTTAACTAATAAACCCTATGAAAAAGGCCCAGCATCTCGAAATGGTTCAACTTGCACTCAATGCAGTATCCAGCACACATAACTATCTTAAACATTCTTTTCATAAGCAGAGATTTTCCCTATGCAGGCAAGTGGACAAGGACTGTTATTTTCTCAAGCAGGAGAGAATTATGGATTACAGTCTTCTGGTTGGGATTCACTTTATACAAATATCACAAACTGGGGAGCCACTAACAACGGAGGCTAGTATTTCCCCAGTCCAGACTCCTGCTGGTATATATGTAACCTCTATATACTCTTTTTTCACACCGTGTATGTTTGGTACACGGTGCTCAATTACAAGATTTTAACTTCTTTTGCTTATTTAATACTTGCTTGCTCAAGTGGAAGATACGTGAAAATTTTGTAGGGGATAGAGATGAAGGTGGTGGAGAAGCAGCTCCAGAACTATCTAGGTCAGATTTTGATCGTTTTGCTTGGAAATCTCTAACTTATGAATAAGGATTTGTCCCTTCTAATGTCATGTTTAAGTCTGGAACCTTGATTGAAATCACACTAGAAGAAGACCAATGAATTCATTTCTTTCTTTAAAAATTTGAACTTCCTATTACTACTTTTTCACTGTATACTAAAGGCAATCGGTTTAACATCGATGTTCATTGGTCAAACCTTTTTCTACACCATTTACATGTAGAAGAAGATAAGACGCTTTTAAATTGAATATTCGACTTAATGACAGTGTTTTTAATTACCATTAGATTAGGTATGAACATGCCAGCGCGGGCTGAATTGGCAACAAGAAGAAATGACAGTGAGCTCGCTATGGTACCAACGGGGGAGTACTATGATGTCATCTTGATCTTGGGTATAATAGATATATTGCAAGATTATGATATTAGCAAGAAGCTTGAACACGCATACAAGTCATTCCATTATGATCCAACTTCAATATCTGCCGTTGACCCCAGCCAGTATTCGAGGCGTTTCCGTGATTTCATCTTCAGAATATTCACACAAGACACTACTTGAAACAAAGAGATGATTAAATTGTAGGAAAATGTGTTTTATGATTCAGTTAAGTAGTAGGTGAGCCTGCTGTAATTGTAAATGTAAGAGTAGAAGATGTGGCTAGTCTTTTTTGGACCCAATATTTTTGTTCCAGAAGTTGAGGAGAGTATACAAATTCCAATGGAAGCAAGGCATTGTGTTTATACCTTGTAGAATTTTGTTCCAAACTCAAAACTAAAGCACATGCAGTTTCTGAAGAAATGATGCTTGGATTGGATTTGACTTGTTTAACCTACATTCTCTAATCCCATTTCAGGTTCATGTGTAGAGCAAAATCGAATTCTTATTTTCAATCTTCCACTAACTAGAACATCCCGTCCCCCATGATAGTTTATGTCTAAAGCTAGTAGAAAGATTTATATATATAATTGGGACTAAATGTCTGCCTCTAGTTTTAATGCAAACATAAAATTTTGGATGAAAATCATCATTAAAGATAAAATATTCTAATTAATGAAACATTAAGTATAAGAATGTGGATGAAAAAAGATAGAGACAAAATAAAAACAATAAATAAAAGCTAGAGACTATAGAAAAAAAATTCGATTTGAATATAACCACCCATTGATGTTTTCTTCTCTACTACCCTTCTTTTACCACCTTCAGACTTCAGTTAACTAATTATACTTTAGTTCATAAAAAATTCTGAATTTTAAATAGAGGAAATCATAATTTAAATTAAATTGAGTGGTTAGACATTTTGTAATTTAATTGAGACAGACTGGCTTACTATTTCAAGATAAGGAATTATTTAATGTAATTTAAACAATTAGGGTGCGTTTGATTGCATTTACTTTCTATGGAAAATGTCAGTTTTCCATCCAAATTCTTACTTTGAAGTGTTTGATTGCTATATTTTTCATGAAAAATGTTTTTCAATTTTTAAAAATATGCATAATTTTCCTTATTTTTAAGGAAAACATTTTCTGTGATGAAGTGGGTTTTTGTTTCCTTCAAAACAAGGAAAATATTTTCTTTTCTAGGATATATTTTTCACGCCAATCAAGACATATTTTCAAAAGTAGGAATATATCTTTTGTGGAAAAAAATAGCAACCAAACATTTCAAAGTAGGAAATTCGGGTGAAAAATTGAAATTTTCCATGGAAAATAAATGCAATCGAACACACTCATGGAATTTGCATGGAAAAATAAATAAATTTTAGACAATTGAATTGCCGTTAACTTATTTGTATGAAAATTATTAATTAAATGCATTTGATTGATTTAATTTTCAACCTAGAACATATTATATTTATCCATTTTTTATTGGTAGATAAATGAGAAAGAGAAAGAGTGAGTGAATTACCTGAAAAATAAAAACCACCCCTCCCTAAAGAAAAAATTTTCTTTGTTTTTGGTCGCGTGACCAAAAGTTGAAAAATATTTTCAATACAAAAATTGTCAATCAAACACCCAAAAAGTAAAAATTTAGATTAAAAAAATGACATTTTTTGTTGAAAAATAAAATCAATAAAACAAACTCTTAGAGCCCCTTTTTTTTTTCATTTTTCATCCATAAAAATGAAAAATATGATTGTTATCCATCACGTCAACTCATCAATTTTGAATTTCTAACTCTTGTGTGGGGCCCAATAACGACTATATTTTTCATTCTCATTCTACAATAATGAGAATTAAACTGGCTCTTAATCTCTATCTTTTTTTGAATAATAATAGCATAACCCCTTCGGCTCACTTGAATGGACAATAAATGCGGCCTATGTGGTTGACGTGCAATCACTTTAAAAACAAGAACAAAAATTTAAAAGTAATGTTATTTGTAGCCGCTCACTACCTTAGTCGTCTTACATGTGATGGTTAGTGATTTGATGCATTAGCGTGGTAGTTTTTTATTGCCCTATGTATCATATCACAATCCGCCACATGTATATCACGTATGACGACTATTCAAAATTAAATGTTTACATTAAAATAATGCTCTCAAGTCTCAATAATTATACCGAAAGAATAATGCTATTCATCGTTACTCGAGATCACATCATCAATTTCATTTGATAATTTGATTTGGACCCAATTCGTCGATGAATAGCCTCCGCCTCTTTCTAAGCGTGTGTTATCTCATGTGCACTTGGAACGCATACGTTAGACATGCAAAACCGGAGGCTCTCCAAACACAAAGGAATGTGGGAGTCACAAGAAGAAAAGTAAAATATATTGAGTACGGTAGTGACACTTATAGAAGACAATATAATTTGGAGTTGGGTTTGTATTTTAAGAGAGTCATGAGAATACTCAAAGCAGGTCACTCTTGAACGACACCAAACGTGAGTATTTTTAGGTAAGAGAAATGGATTGAACTTGTTGGATGCTTGGCATGTAGCATCATCCCAACAACGTCTAGTGACTACTTTTAAGTGTAACCAGGGGCGGACCCGGGGGGTCTTGGGGGGTCACGTGACCCCCCCAAATTTTGAGATTTTTTTTTAAAATCATGTTTGGTATCTATTGATTTTTGAGTTTATATATATATATAAAGTCGTGTTTGGTATCGATTGAAATATAAATTTTAATTTAAATCAAAGTTAACAATTAATTTTAATAACATATTTCATGGAATTCATAACTATTTAACTTTTATGAACTCCATCAAATAGGGAAAAAATCACAATAACTTCGAATTTTTCTCTTTTTCTCTCGGCTTTTAACAAAATATTAACTCTCCATTAAATGAGGGAGAAATATTGCATTCTTAATACCATTTTGAAGTGTTCACGGTCTACTTTTCTACGTTGTTAATTACATACGAAAGCATCAATTGTAGTAAATGCTACGACCAGGGATGGACCCAGGACCGGATTACAGGTCGGGCTAATACGTAAAAAAAAATTTGGCGTAGCCCCCCCTAAATCCGTCTCTGGCTACGACTTATCAAAGTAAGCCGTTCAAAATTAGTATTTCAAAATTTTCGATAACATGCTAAATTTAAAAAAATTTCGACGATCGTACGTTAATCAAATTTACAAATTACTTATGGCATCTCAAAGTTTATTTCGAGAACTACATTAAAGGCATATCGAATAATCCAAACAGATATAAAAAATAGTTAAAAATGCGTTAAACGTGAGTTTTAAAAAAATGCATCTAACTCGCATTTTCTTTAAAAAAATTGAATTATTTCGCTAACATTTATTTTCTTTGCAATACAAATTTCTCAATGTAATTTTCATCATTTTATTAGGAAATTTTATATGCAATATGACATAAAATTTTTTCGAAATTTTACATCTAAAAAAGTCATATTCCATGTAAATTTTAGGATGCAAAATTACATAGGGTCTGATTTTTTTGGACATAAATTTTCGATTGTAAATTTTCTCCAAACTTCTTTGCAAGTTCAATTGTTCCCCCTAATTTCAAACTTCTGCGTCCACCCCTGAGTGTAACGCTGTCAACGGTGCTCTTCTAGTAACCACCACTGTAACACTAATGAGAATTCTTTTATCTTTTATTGTTACGTTAACAAATATTACAAGTGATATATTTATTTGATAGATAATTATATTAATTGGAAAATATTTTTGAAATCAATATTGAGATATTAAATCATCTCACATGATTAGCCACGGTGCACCAGCAAAGCCTCGTTATTCGCAAGTAAAGAAGAAGAAGAAGACAATTGGTAAATGCATTTTTGTCTTGTTCACACGTTTTTATTGGTCATGAATGTGAAACACAACTTAGTAAAATCGTACCATAGATATTACACCGAGTCCATGAGTCTTCATCAACTGTTGAGTAACAGCTTTCTGTGATTTTGCTGAGACAATGGGATGCATTCGTTGATCATCAGGAAAGGAAATATGCCCGTTAGGTGTGTTTCTTTCACGACAAGGTCTAGTCTTGGATACCTTTCAGCAATCTTCTAGATTTAGAATAAAAGAAGTTATGTCCGCCTTAGACATCGACATCATTCCACACTTCTTGATGTTTGGGACAAATTGAAGGAAAAGATTGGACCATTTGACCTCGTTGTAAGTAGGTAAGTAGTCAATTTTCGAGGGGCCTTGTAAACTCTAAACTATACGGCGAAGTTGGAATAGTATTTCCTCCATCCGTAGAATTTCTTAGTAATTGACTTGTTCAAAACTTTTTTAAATGAACTAGTAATTAAGTCAACAGTAACTGTTGGGTTTTGATACCCAATAAATTCGGACGATGATGTAAAACGGTTGTTGGGAACTTATCGACACCATATGTTTGGCTCGACTCGAATACTACAGACACTTTTGGAAGGTCCAAGTTGGGATTGTGATTGGTTTGTGGTTTAGGTTTAATGTTAGGCCCATTTATTGGTATTAAGCTGACCCATTACTTTTGGCCCATTTTATGTGACCTAATCCACTAGATATATACCCATTTCCCCAATACTAGAAACGGTGTGGTGCAAGAGAAGAGCTATGAGAAAGGGGGCAGCCGGGTTTGGGGGGAATTGGAGAGATTCCACCATTGTTGTTCGCCTTGTTTCTTCTCCATTGTAGTCACCACGTAGTATCCTTTAAGGGTACTAAAGAGAGAGCAACCGAAGAGGGCAGAAAGAGGCAACCAATGTGTAGAGGGTTGTTGGGTCGAGCCTTTTGGTAGATTGGTATTCATTTTGGTTGTTTTTTTGAGCCCGAAAATCTGGTTATTGGAGTCCCAAAATCTTACAAATGGTATCAGAGCTTGAGTTGTAAGGAAATTTGTGATTTTTGGGGCGAAAAACGAGCTGAAAAAGACTAGAAGCGAAGCTCGAAAACCGGCAGAAAATCTGTCCAGTTTTTCCAAAAACTGCTAGAAATGTTTTTTGCGTTTTTCGGACAAACCAGAGGTTGGATGGAGAAATGGACACCACCATTGGAACGTGCAGGCAGAGGAGAACGTGGGATCGCGTGAAGCCCAAGCGCAGCGTCGGCGATGTCGCGTGGGGGCTGATTTTGGAGATGTGGTCCTCAGGCAGTT